TCGTTCTTGTCCTTTAAACATCCTGTTAGCCTACGATGTGATACTGTATATATTAGAGGCCAGTAGGAAATGTAAATTCGTTCTATATCATTTAAAATGCCACACTGTCAAAAGTAAACACAGTTCAATGCAAATACTACACATTTGTGAGTTGTATTTTCCATCTATGCCAAATACACAACAGGAAGTAAATAAAACAGATGATCCCATTACAAAGTTACCTGATAAGTAATGCATTCGATCAGGAAGCAGGTAAACAGTAAGTTGGTTTTGGAAGAAGAAATGAGCAGGAGGATGAGGAGGGTTCGAGCACTCCAAAAAGGCAGGTATTGTGGTGATGTCATGTTTTGTACTGGCACACAATGGCGCTAACGCTCTAAAAAAAATAACTTTAAAAACTTTCTTTTAATACATCTTTTTTTTTTTTTGTAAATCCAGGCCTCTGTAGTGGAAATTAGCCATAATTCATGTCGTCTCAGCTCCACTTTAACTTGTTTAGCTAATTCTCTAACTACAGTGCATCAGACTATAGTTTGGAGTACACTCACCAGTTGTGGTCACCATCAGTGACCACAACACAATGCATAGTGTTACAACATAATGCATACTATATCATTATACACCTCAGCCACTGTCTATGGATTGGGTGAATGCAAAATGTTGCAAGGTAATGCAAAATTAGTGGAGAAAAAAAGATGATGATTCCCACTGTTACACTTTAGGGGCTCTATAGAACAAGCTTCTGCACAAAGACAGCTCTCTTAGCTGATAAAAGCTCAGCTAGACTCCAATCAGTCCATTAACTTTCAATATACATGTATGTTCAAAAATACACGTTTAAGTCTTTTTCTTACTCATTTGCTTACACACACACACACACACACACACACACACACACACACACACACACACACACACACACACACACACACACACACACACACACACACCTCTGGTATGAATGGCCCTTGGCCACAGGCAGAGTTTTCACAGTAAACTAACCTTGATCAATAACCTGCTATGGACCTCAGCAAAACCCGCTGTTCTCCCTACTGCTGGATTTCAATATCACGCCTGTTTGAACACTCTAGCCATGGGCCAACTGTGTGTGCGCATGTGTGTGCATGCACATGCGTATGTATGCATGTACTGCTGCCGCATGAATTTGCGCGAGCCTGCAAGCATGTGTGAATGTGTTTGTGGCCTCCTGTACGCTGTGTGTGCTTTAGGAATTCTCTGTGCATGAATTGGGTTGTGTGTGTTTTGGGCTGTGTGTTTGAGCGAAGCCTCGGGGTCCGCTGTGAACGGTGCTAACTGGCCCTCTGAACTCTTTCCTGTGAAGAGAAAGAGAAAGCCACTGGGCATGTGCAGAGGACAGCATGCCATTTACCTGGGCTACGGATGGTTTTTAAAACTGGCAAGAGGGACTTACACACACACACACACACACTGAAGATACTCCTGGCTTTTGCCTCAAACGCAAAAGCACACCTTTGCTCCCTCGCCTCAAACACAAACACACTTCAAAAGTTCTTTTTCTTTTTTTTTCTTTTCTCCTTTTTTATTTTTGGAAGCGATGCAGCCAGTACTACCCCTGCGTTTAAAGAGCCTAACCGCTCTCTTCATGTGCCCTTCTCTCGATTCCTGCCTCTGCAAAAAGGCCCCAACGCGCCAGAAAAACTTACTAGTTTACATCCAGCTCTACAACTAGCGAGACAACCTTTTGGCTCTCAAAGGTGTTCGTCTCACAGTGCTCTTTATATACAGTGAAGTGGGGCCACACATTCGGCCTTTGCTCCAGTTCGAGCTGGGCCTTTAGAAGAGTAAATGCTCTGAAAAATAACCACTGCTGAACTCTGGAGGAGTGAATAGTTGTTGAACAGTGCTGCGCTTTATAATATAATGAGACATATATGGGGCTTTTTCCAGTAATGAGGAGTGGATAAGCAATCATTTTTACTCAAATGAGTTTGAAAAAAAAAAACCCATGCCTTATCTGAACCTGCATGCGTGTGTGTTCATTTGTCTTAATGTACATGGCAGGATGTGTACGTGTGTATATGTATTAGTTGGTAGTTGAATACAGCTGACCCAGATGTGTTAAGTGGGTCATGGGAACATCGCAGCCCACACACTGGGGGTTATGGATAGGCAACAGCCTTGTGGTTTGTGTGTGTAAGTGTGTGTAGATGGGGTTAGGACACTGGGGCAGTGCCCTGATTATACTCAGATTAGATTTGGGAATTCATCGCCCCTCCTTCTGAGCTTTACCCCCAACTCTGTCTCCTATTACTTTTTCTCTCTTTCTCTTTGCCTTCCTCACTTTCTGTTCCTTTGCTGTAACCTCTGGGCATCCAGAGGGGTTTGTTTAAGACACATGCTAAATAATCACATTTTGGGAAATTAAAAGATGTAACATTTCGAATGAAGTCTCTTATATTTTGACATTGCAGTTTTTCCTGTTAAAATCCTTTCTGTTTGGGTGTTTCAATCAGATGAAAATGCTATAAAAAGATTTAAGGTTAGCGTAGGTTTATGTTACGTATCCTAAACAATTAATAATGTTAAGAAGTTGTTTTTCCTTATAGCAGTTGTACAAGGTGTAAATGTGAGGACCAATGGTTGTCTTTCTGTGTTAGCCAGGGTTTACCCTGTCTCTCACCCTATACCAGCTGAGATAGGCTCCATCACCCCAATAGATGGATGGATGGTTGCAAGGTTGCATGGATGACAATTTTACAAGGCGTAAAAAAAAAAAGGTTTTGAGAATCTTTGGAAATCTTGATTTCCCATTCAAGAGCCTCATCTTATACACTTCTATACATGAACATTTTCATGGTGGCTGCTATTTTTTGATCACTTTGTAGAAGTACTTTGTTACTTGTACCTCTGCAATGTGTTTCTGGAAATGCTCCAGTGTCTGAAAAAGGTGACGCTTCAACTTGATTTACATTTTAGGAACCGAACAAGGTCCCAACAAGGCAAATATGACAAGTACAGCAGGCTGGAAATAAAGTTTGTGTTGGTGCAGGGAAAAAAACAGAATTTTCAGCTCGCTCTGTGCTGGCACAGGATGGTAGTCTGGCACATATTACACGTGTGGTCAATTCTGAATGACAGAATGCTCCTGGTTTCTCTCTGCGCCTGAAACTCTGTTTCCCGGCTTGGAAAGGGTGGACTCTTCAACTGTCAACTGCATGGTCATAGCAGGAGACCCAGCTTTGAATCAGCTATGATGCTTTACACAAAATTAATGTCAGGATGAAAGAGAATTCAATCTTTGCTGGCTGCACAAGTTTGAGGTTTTCTTTCTACTCTATTTTTTTGTATCCCTTTCTTGTGCTAATGTTTTGGGCTATGAGGTTGTTTTTTAATGCTTTTTGTAAAGTGCAAATTCCTTCAAAACCCAACTGAAGGTCTTTTTGTAAGTCTCCACAACTGTATCAGTTTACTATCGCAAGTTAGAGAACATATACTATATGGACCAAAGTACTGGGCCACCTACACATTACACCTAAAGGAGCTGCTAGAAACCCATGCCATAGAGCTTCTGATGCACGTCTTCTGTTCTTATCCTAAAGCCAGAACAGGTTTGAAACTTTAGAGTTAGTGAGTCTCTGAATGTCTGGGAATACACGCTTCTTTTGCGGTGGAGGAACACCAAAGTAATTGCTTACGGAGCTTGCTTCTTTGACATCTTTAAGAGTTCTGAATAAATGTCTGTCCTCCTCCAGAACAACTTATGTACGCAAATGCGTGTTGCAACTTCTTATCTGGTGCGCGTCTTTTATTTTGATAGCGAATGTGCACCTGCGGACCACTTATGTGCAGCCCTGGTTATTAATCCTTACCCTAGGTTGGAGGTTAGGGTTGGGATAATACCACAACACCAACAGCAACTTTGGTGAAAACCAGCCCAAGAACTCTTCTTAACCATCTCCACAGAGAATGTACTTGACTGCATGTTGAAGGCCAAGTAGTGGGAGATGAAATGGGATCTTTGATGACAAATATAAGTTAATGAGCAGTACATAGTTTTTTCAGTTCCGGGAACAATCAGTATTTTACTGTCCCCTTCTTGTCCTTCCATGGGAAAAAAATAAATAAAATAAAACTAATGTCTATATCTGAACTCGTCAAAAATAGATGTCTGCTCTAATGTGAAGTACCATACCTTCTTATGAAGGAAACATGTTAAGTTTGCAACTGAAACTGGAGCCAAAATGTAGCAATTTTTCAAGTATTTTTGTATTTATTATAGGAAGAAGTGTGGTGTATGTCAACCTAGTCTGGTCTCATGGCCAAATAAATTGACGTGTACATGGACATGATTTACAGTGCAATTTCTCTGTTTGTGTCTTTGTATCTCTACACCGTGATGTAAGTGCATAAGGATTGTCTTTTTTTGTTTTTGTTTTTTTTTTTACATTAAAGTCCTTTTATTACTGTTTTTCAAACCTACCTTGAAAGCCTGGACCAGGATGTTTTATGCCAATTTTCTTTTTTTCTTTTTTTTGCCATGTTTTATAATTTTTTTTATTGTCAGCTTTAAAGTGAAAATAATTTTTCAATTTGAAGAAAATTTGCTTTCTGCACCACATATGTTTCTCAGAATTCTCTAAAGAATTCTCAAATTCTTGACCTGGCAGCCAAAAAAACAGAGCTTTGAAAAGCTGACAGGTGTATTTTAGTCCTAACTATATTTTTCTAAATCTAACTAAATAGTTAGATAATGAATAACAATTAAAGTAAGAGGTGAAAGGAAATACGAGTAATCCATAAGAAAGGGTACGACTAATGGGTTCCCAGTTAGACTTGATCAGTGTCCGTTGATATGTGTAGTCATTACACCTTCACTAGCCTCAAAATATGTGAGTTTTTCACCCTCACACTTGAAAAAATATATCTGCTGTGATACTGTGTCATGCCACCATGGCTACCTGATTAGTAACTGGATTTGCTTATGTCTGTTCCTGGTGTTTTTCTGATTGTGTCCCCAGTGTGAGTGGAAATGGGGCATGCAGGCATGGCGGGAGTGCTGGGAGGAGAGAAAGCAGCCAGGGTGGCACATTGACTGGAGGATCGCCAACCGCTCTCAAACAGGTAGGAATCCATGCCAACTCTGCCTCCCTACCCCCCCCCCCCACCCCCACCCCCGCCCCCCTCAGTACGTCTGTCTGAATCAGTGGCCGTCATGCTCGCTGACATTCAAACTTTGTTACCTGCTGTAAAGATTTACAGCTTTGTTTCCATTACTTTATCTGTCACCGCTTCAGTGGTGAATATGACACAGTAGATCTCTTGTTAGCGGATATGGAGCTTATAACCTCAGTGTATGTCAGGCTATGTGCTATTTTAATCATCAACTTTTTTTAAGATTCACCTAGTAGCAGTTTGTGTTTATAATGCAAATACACTGGGTTACTTCAATAGACTGAAGACAGCTTAAAAATGCATAGATTTTCAGGCAAGCTATGAATTGAAATATCCCTCCATCCATTTTCTGCTGCTATGTGGGTCCAGGTCACAGGGGTCAAAGTAGAGATTCAGATTCAGTTTTGTCCCTGGCCACCATCTAGTCTAGATCGTATGCAGCAACACCGAGGTGTTCACAAACCAGCAAAGAGACATAATCTTTCCAGTGTCTCCTCTTAGTAGAAAATGCCTGAAACACATCCTCCTCAAAACGGAGGAGTAGCAGCTCTACAACAAGTTCCTGCATAGAGTGACCTCAATGCCTGAGGTCACTCTATCTCAAAGGTTGAGCCCAGACACCCTATGGATTAAGCTCAGCACTTGTTTGCATGATAGAGATCAGGCTGTGGTCAGCGAGGTAGGCCCTGGTGCTCAGTTGCCATGCTGGAATTACTCATATTTAAGCGTTCATTCTATAACACCGTCTATAAAACAGCTACCCACTGCACTCATGGTGTCACAGCTTTGTTATTTTAACATAACAGGAAGCATACACATAAGACAACATGCTGTTTTAACAAAACATAAAGTACAACTGAAGTATTAGATCCTTTTGAGGTTTTGAGACTTCTACACCATCAGTGTGATTTCTTTCCCCTTGAAAAACCCAAATAAATTGCACAATCATTTTTTTAAGCAACACATTTAAAAAGGACGAGATAATCAACAGTGGCACCATAAAAACGCAACTTAATATTTTTACAGAATAAAAAATATATATTTTGAAGTTAATGTTCATTATGCTAAGAAATTTTCAGAAACATTTTTTCTAAAAACAACAACAAAAGCAAAACAAAATAAAACAAAACAAAAAAACCCCAAGTATGCTTGCTCCTGACAGGACCATTAAGAAAGGTTTACCTACTCCATATAAAAGCTGGTGAATTGCTTTTCTTTTTGGCTTTATTGTAGATGATGTTCTGAGGTTCTTTCAGGAAAAAAATGATGATGAGCAGCATTTATTTGTTTTCATAAATGTGTTTAGTGTATAGTGCTCTCATTTAATGAGATCACATGATATCTAACAGGCGTCCAGACTGCCAAAGGACAGTGGCTGTGACTGGCTCTCAGACAGACTCTGAACATCAGGTGTTTAAATTCAACCAGTGTCAGCGTGTTAAACATGACTGCTAGGGCCAAACTGGCCCTCAGCTACACGCTCTGATGTTTATATAGCTCAGTCTGAGCCAAATGCATCCCTCCAACACACAGGTCAAAAGCTATGAACTCAGAGTGGACATTTGCCAGAGAACATGGAGAACATGGCCTGCCAATTGCTACAAGCCTGTGGCCAGACGGCTAGTGTGCAGAGTTCAGGAGCAGCCAAGTGGTGTCCAGTGAGGGATACCCTGGTTTACTGTTGGCCAAACAACGCCTCCAGGCTGGCTGGACTGACTCAACATGACTGGTTTCTGTGTAGACAGAGTGAGGAAATACGCCTGTCCACTGTGGATTTGCTTTGCTGTTTACTGCTTAGAGATGTTGATTACAATTCTGGGTTGATTATGTTTCTCCTTAAACATGCCAGCAGTGTGTGACTTGTTACCTTATAGAAATTACAAACATTTAAAAGTATTCTCCTAGATAACAGTGTTACCTACTCAGAAAAAGTAACTGGTAAAGATAAGTTTGTGTTATCAAAAATAAACGCTTTGCTTTGCAAATGTCAATTATAGTTTGCTTCAAGTTGACCCCAAATGGTTTATATCCTTAAAGAAAGTGACTGACTACAAATATACTGCAGTAGATTATTATATTATATGTTACATAAGTTATCCATTTATTTATAATACAGTAACAATTTTTTCTGACTGTTTTATTGTTTTCTTTCAACAAATATTGAGAACATCCTCACAGTGTAGATGTGACTGAAACTGAAAGAGGCCCAGTCCCAGTACCCATCCCGGCTCTCTGGGTGGTCACTGCCTCTTTTTGGCATGGCTCTGCTTGGTACACATCCAGACTCCTTGAGGTAAAATGGCACACTGGCGCACTGGCTGTGCAGTGGCTAACATCTCTCCTAGCCTCAGCAAGCAGTCCAGGTGCCATTAGTCTAAACACACATAAACAGACGGTATAGCTTCACAGGTTCAGGATAGCCAAAGCTGGATCTACGGCCAAGTCCACTTACAGGCCATGGGAGGATAAACGCACACTTTGGCCAAACACACACACACACACACACACACACACACACACACACACACACACACACACACACACACACACACGCACAGCCAAAACCAACCTCAGCCACTCTGTGGCCAAAGGCATTTAGAGCACAGTCCCACTCAGTAGGGAATCCCAATGTTTGGCTATCCATCTCTCTTGGTAAAATCTATCTGAGAGGGAAAAGAGGGGGAGAGGGAGCAAAGAGGGTTTGAGTTAAGAAAAGCTGGACAATCAAATATTGCAGTGTTTAACACTTCATTTTCAATCCCTGCCGATTCCATTTCCCGCCAGCGTTAATTGCCGCTGTGCTACCTGCCACCAGTGGTTCTTTATGAAATGATTTCTGAATTGAAGCATATGGACGAGGAGCCGCAACGGGAGCCATGAATGGCTTGAGGAAGGGTCCCATTAAATAAGAGCCAGCTAATTACTTTGTCCTCCCTTTTTGTCCTGCACTATCCAGGCTCTCGCCGCTGTTCATATATCTTACTGTAATGAGTAAAGCCAGGGCCTGGCACCTGTGCTCGGTAATTAAACATATAAATTCTCCCCTCACGGAAATATGTGTACTCACCAGGACTGATTTATAAAGGTCTCTAAATTGCACAGTTGAGCTTATTTTTTTTTCTTTTAAAGGGTCTGGAAGGATACGAGTTATTCATCAGATCAAGCTTGATCTTAAAAAAACAAAAACAAAAAACCCCTGCAACATGTCTTCTCTAAGAATTCAGATTCCCCTCTTTCCACTGTTACTTTTCTTTTGTAGGTGAAGGTGGTGATACTGGGACTGTCAGGCAGACCTTTTGGAATCGGAAATGTTAGCTTTTCCAACCTCACAGCCTCACAGCCAAGAACACCAATGAAAAATGTCCATATAAAAACATACTGTGATCAGAAACGGATCCAACCAAAATAGGTTTATGACTCATTTACGAACCCCCTCCTCAAAAGTTACTTATACTGTACTTTATGACAGACAGAAGGCCATGAAATTGCCAGTTTTCACCTCATATTCCCTTCCTGCATTCTCTTTTAAGGCCTTGTTTTGCACTTACATATTTGTCCATTATAGATGAGCATTTGTGTGTTAAGGTAGCTGTTAAATGATTTTGATTTCTTTCACCGCATTAAAATAAAATAAAAAAATCCTCAGGTTCAAAATAAGTCCAATCTTCACAGTTTTATGATGCATTTGCTTATATTCAGTTAAACTTATAAAGCTGTAACCATTTACAGATACAAAAATTGTTTTTTTCTTTTCTCTTGTTCTACAAAAATCAGTGGTTCAGTTCAACAATAGAACCCAACTTTAACAAAGTGACACAACGACATGATCACAAAATGTAGCAAACGTTCATTTTTAGCAATCTTACACCCTATGCTCAAAATGGACACAGTAAGATGGGATATCACTTGATTTTAATTGGAGCATGTTAGTAACTTAGCAAATGGTTAGTACCATGCTTTAAGGCAGGATTTCCCTCGTGACAAATAAAGTATTATCAATCAATCAATCAATCAATCAATCAATCAGTTACACCCAGCTACCACACAAAGGAAAAGATGTTAGCTACTTTAGCTATATTATGTTAGGATGGTACAAGATACAAACAATAAACCAGAAAAATATTTACTGACCACATCCAGCAACTCGAAACTAAGCAAAATGTAGGAACCACAACCATTATAAAGTTAAACTACTCTCAGCTTTGACATGAGTGATGATGAATGCAGCTGCCATACTATTACATCACATAAGGTAACTACACACTAGGATTATCAGTTCAATAGGTGCCTGGAATGTTCACTAGCACAACAAGCAACATTTCTGTATTATAACTCCTAGCTAAAGTTGTGCCTGATTAGCTTATTATTTAAAGATTCAAAATGGTAAGTGCAAAATTTAAAAGCTAACTGTGATCAAATACAACCTGTCAGACAGTAAAGTGCTCTAGGCTTTCACATTTCAATGAAAAGAGCATCAGTATTATTAGAGGGAGTAAATTTGTCCAGTGACAGATTACCCAGTGACTCAATAGCACGACTTACTTGTCTTCAGAATGAAGCTGTACTAGTCGCTGCTCGAAGAATCTTAAGTTCAGATCAGCACCTTCCATTTGCTCGCTAAAACAGTGATGAAGCTGACAGATTTGCTATTAAAAGATCCAAATATTTACCTGAGAACTTCTAGTGAAACCAAATAAGTGATATTATGAGAATTATAGACTGATAACATAAAAGTCTATAACATAACATAACCCATTATGTTACACCCCAGCCTAGGCAACCGGCGTGCAACACAGGAAAAATAAAAATAAGGGAAAAAGGCCCCCAAGCTCACTGCTCTTAAGGAGGGCGAACCCATAAAAAAGACTAATACGGGCTTCCACAAAAATAAAAATCCCAAACGAAAGTATCGACAACTATTTTCTTTAAAGCGAAATACGATATTTATT